TGCACCCCAAGTCAGCACCCGGGGCACCACGGGGGGCACCCACGGGGCAGGGACCCACGGGGGGCAGGAGGGCACCCAGGAGGGAAGCAGGGGGAACCATGAGGGGTGGGGACAATGACACACCTACCAATGGGGGGGGTGGTACCCACAGGAGGGGACACTCACAGAGGGGGCACTCACGGGGGGGAGGGGCACCCATGGGGTGGGGGCAAGTCGAGGGGAGCACAGGCCCAACCTAGGGGCTCAAGAAGGGAAGGGGCGACAGGGGAGACACCCAGAGAACCCAAAAGACTTTGTCCTCAACAGGGGAGAGGGGACACCAAGAGGATCCCAAAGGACGTGACAGAGGTGGCCCCAAGGAGGTGACACTACCCGCCCTTCCACAAAGACCTTGGCGTGGGGGGAGGACACAAGGGTGGCCCCAGGTTGGTGGCAGCACCCCCCTCACCCAGGGGGTGTCCCAGGGGGGTGTCCCAAGGGATGTGTCCCAGGTGGTCCCAGGTGGTGTACTTGGGGGGTGTTCCCAGGGGGGCTGTCCCCAGGGGATGTTTCAGGGGTCCCAGGAATCCCAGGGCAGCACCCACCTGACGAAGAGCACCTTGCCCTTGCTGGGGGGCTGGTCCCGCTGGGCCTCGGCCGCCAGCGCCTCCGCGCGCTGCTCCAGCAGCTTCATGTCATCCAGGCCACTCTGCCCTGGTGCCAGGTCTGAGACTGGGACAGTGGGGACAGGGGACATCAGTGGGGAATGGGGACAGGGACAGCAGAGGGGACAGGGAACATCCCTCATGGGTGCCCCTCAATGCCCACAGCAGCCCCACACCCTGGTGCCCACAGATGCCCCAACACCCATGGGTGTTGGGGGCATCCATGACTCTGCCCAGACCCCATCCCCAGCACCCCAAGGTGCTCCCCAGCACCCATGGGTGCCCCCTCACCAGTGCCTGTGGCGTTGCTGTAGACCTTGAGCATCTGGGAGGCCATGAAGTTGACCTGGGTGTTGTAGGTGGCCTGGACGCTGCGCTTGATCCGCAGCATCTCCCGGATCGTGTCCTCGTTCCCGTGGCGGATCTCAAAGTCCTTCCAGGTCTGCCAGAAGGTGCCAGTGATCTGGGGGGAAACACATGGGGGGACATCTCATGGCACTGGGGACACAGCTAGCCAAGAGACAGAGATAATACAGGGGACTCATGTGGCCCTGGGGACACCCCTGGCACTGGGGACATCCCTGGTGTTGGGGACACTCCTGGCACAGGGCACTCATGTGGCCCTGGGGACCTCCTGGCACCCTGGAGACAGGCCTGACACCCCCCCGAGTTCCAGCCCACGGAGCACTGCCCCAACCTCGGCATTGCCCCCACCCCACTGGGTGCTCCTCCACTCCTAGGGGTGCCCCGTACCCCAGTGGGTGTCCCATGGGGCACTCCCACCCCTGGGTGCCCTGTTGGGCCCCAATGTGCCTCCCCCTCCATGGGTGCCCCCCACCCTTCTGGCTGCCCCCAACCCTATTTGGTACTGACCCCCCTCCTGGGTGCCCCCTACCCCAAGGGGTGTCCCCACTGTGCCCCAAAATGGGTGCTCCCCCTCTTGGGTGCCCCCTGACTCCATC